CCTGGGTGGAACTCTCCCTGAAGACCCCCAGAAAGCAGAAAGCCCTGGGTTCTATTGCTGGAGCTTGGCTTCCCTCCCGCCACCTGCTCCCCAAGCCTGGTGGGCTCTGGAAGGGAAGCTTCCCATAGTGGCTGAGCTGGGGGCTTGTGGTATTGTTCCTCTGGGATGTGGCTGGCATTGTGGGTGACCTCGTTATTCTTGGCCTTCTTTGCGGTCAGAGAGCACTCTGCCTCCCAGCGATGACCTGGGCTCCCCCCTCATGCTGGTGGACAACTACAGGGTCCAGGACCAGTGACATTAGCATGCTCTGGGGCCATCCAGCTTTTGGGCTCCCGGCCTCACCCAGGCCCAGGGAGCCAGCATCTGACTTTCATCAGGTCCCCGGAGGCTGAGGCCACTGAGCCCCTCCTGGGGGTGTCTCGGACCCCTAAAGGGTTCCCGTTAGGGTCCCCTCGTGACAGCCCTGATTGTGGAGTGGGGCTCATGAGAACCTCTGCCTGCAATTGTTTTTATATTAAAAGGTAGGAAATAAGTAAGCCTTTCACCCAGCAGATGCTGCAAGTGAACTGCATGGTGGACAGTCATGCCTCCTGTGCCGTCGCCGTTTGACTTGATTTCAGCATCATGCCATGTGCGTGTAGGATTAGGTGTATATTTACAGCTTATATTACTTAACTTTTAAACCAGCCCTCACAGAATGAACAAAGGACGTAAATAAATCCTACAAGAACAGTGAAACGCCGCCCTCCAGCGCTGCTTAAAGGTAGGCGTGCCCATGGCAGACTGTGTGGGGCACCTTAGAGCTCTCTCCCCAGACTCAGGCGGATGCCCACGGCCCTGCGTGCAGAGTCGTCTCTCCTGGGACCACGTGGCTGCCTGACCTGGCACGGCCTGGCCGGGTGCTGTCTCTGACATGCACCTTGCACAATTCCGACTTCTGATGAAACCACTGGCTCCAGGGAAGGGCTTGGACCCTGTGTGGCATCTGAGACAAGCTGCCAGGTTCCAGGTGGTGCCCACGTATGTCATTCAAGACAAGTGTCAGAAGTGCAAATTAAAGAATGATTTGTTGCTCATGGCTTTTTGTTTCAAAACAAGGGTAGTAAAATCCACCAGCCTTCCAAGGACTAGGCTATGTTCTCTACTTTATAACCAAGCTCAGCGATCTCACAGGGCAGGCGCGGTAATTACTCTAATACATAAATGAGCAAATGGAGCTTACAAGAACTTTATTATTGCACCTCAAGCCATACACCTGAGGAGGAGCAGCTGGACCCAGCCCTAAACTGGTTTTGCTCCCCCTAAGAGAATGAACAAACAGAATTATCTATTTTTATATTTTTCTATACGTTTTTATAAATTTCTTATATCATTAGTCGGTGATCTAAATTTTAACCTGAACAGATAACTAATATGCAAAGCAAAGGTATTCATGATTGTATAAAAAAAAAAAAAAGGAAAAAATATTCTGGAAACCACACACATTTATGTTATATATGTAAATGTAGTGTGATTTTAAGCAGAGTAAATTTATATAGGAAACTACAGAATGAGAATCGTAAGGACCTCACATAGCAGAGATTTTTAAGGATCGTAAGAGGAATGGGATGTGTGTATGTACACACGTATATGCATACAGACACGCACACACATTTATGTTATATATGTAAACGTAGCATGATTTTAAGAACCTTGAGAAAATGTCTGTACATAAAATTTAAATGCTCTTAACTTACATACGTATATACACGTATTTGTGTGTAAGAGATTATGTATGAATAACGTGGGTATACTTTTAAAAATCCTAAGGAAAAAGTCATTACATATCACTTAAACATACTTTATTTACTTATATACCTACATCATATATGTAAATATGCATGTGTAGCTTTAATCAATCTAAGATGAACAGTTCTGTCTATACAATGTGTATGTGTACACACATAATTGCAGGCTGGAGACTGGCATGATAGGATAAGTGAAATAGATGGATCAAACAGGTACAATAAATGTATTTTGCTCTTTTATGGATACATTTCAGTTGAATATGTTGGCTGGCTGCTGTTCTAATAATGTATAAAGAATAACATTTAAAAAGCATGTATGTCAACTCCATTTCCTAGGAACATTTAAGCTATCTGAAAGAAACTCAGAGGCAATCGATTCCTGTGACTCCTTCCTTCTGGCATAGACCCAAATGCCATTTAAAGCAAGGCAGTTTACTAGGAGACTTCTTTTGGGGTGTAATAATAAAGCTGCAGCTTCAAACCCCAGAATGCCTTCTATCCAGGAGAAGGCTAGGATTAGCCGAGCTAGCAAACGGAATGTGCATGATCTGCTGAATAACCAAAAACACCTGTCCTGAAAGTGCTGGAACTTGCGCACCCTCCTTCTCTGCTTGCCCCCACCCCATCCCACCACCCATCTACCTCTGTGCAGCATACAGAGGAAGAATTCTGTGTGCTGAGAACTTTCATTTTAATAGCCTGAGAGGGTCTCCAGGCCAATGGCATGGGACCACCTGGGAGGTCTTAGCACTTCTGGGCCTTAGGAAGGTGTGAACGGTTTGCTTGAGAAGAGCTGAGCTCATCCTGAATGTATACATGCCTGTGATAAATGCTGTGCCATTGTGGATAATACAGTAGGAGGGACTGCCCAGTGCATTCTGGGGCTCCAGGCCCCCTTCCGTCCACGTGGCTAAGATAAGCACCCATCTGTGGGCACTGTATGGCTCTTACGCCAGTTCCCTGATTTGCATTGAGATGCTTGTTCCTTGATTCAAGGCTCTAATGAGTATGCGTGGTCTTAATGTTCAGTGTTGGGGAATGAATCTTTGCTTGCTAATCCCTGAGTGACTGTACCATGCCCTAGGTCTGTGGGATTCCAGAATTTCCCACCAATAGTCTCCCCATTGGGCTCTTCCTCTGTAGGGTCCCAACTAAGAAGGCACGCCTGGTTTTCCCTTTAGGGTCCCCTCATGACACCCCTGATTGTTAGCTTGGCTGGAGGGATGTCAAACACCAGCTGGGTTCCACCCTAGATGATTTCAGAAACACCTACGGCAATGAATAAAGGCCCTGTGTGACATAACCATACAGCCCAGTGGTTTACATAGATTAGGTCTTTCAGGTGGAATCTTTTCACTTCCGTGACTCTAAAATTTGACAAAAAGAACATCTGTTTATGTGCCAGGCATCGTGCTCTGGGCCATCTTCTCTAATGCATAACCCTGCCTGGAATGCATTATTCTGTCTGCTGTGCAGAAGGGAAAGCCGGCCCTCTGAGATTAAGGACTTCTCTGAGGTCACACAGATGGCTATTGCCAGGGTCAGAACTGAAATTCACCTCGTCTGACTCCAGAACCCTCCTCCCCCTTAGTAAAATAAATCGTTTCTAGGGAATATTATGGTAACAGCCCACCAAGTGGGAAGCCTCGACTGGGATGCAAAGAAACAGGGTGCTGGAGGCACCTGCCGTGAAGGTAGCTGCAGCCCTGGAGTCCCTCGGGCCCCACGAGGCTGTAGAAGGCTTCAGAAGGACAGAGGAGGGGTTTATGAATGGTTTCTCAGCATTTGCATCTCAGCCCCCCACCAAAGGGGGCTGAGATTCCGGACATCAGCTCAGTGAGACCTCTTGCAGAAGGGTGGCGGTGGAGGGACTCCTGCAGAGAAGGCCCCACTGTCCATGTCTCAGGTGTTGTCAACGGGCCGGGTCAAGCAGTGTGGCTCCCGAGACCTTGTGAAGAAGCCAGGCAGAGATGTACCAGCGATGGGAGACCTCCCTGTCCCTTTGGGCTCATCGTTCCCTGCACGTGCCATGCCAGGGGGTCCAGCACAGCAGCTGGGGGTGGGGCAGAAGGTCACTGAGAAAGCCAGAGCCGCCCTCCACACGCCCTCCCTTCCACAGCCACAAAACCGTGCCCAGGCTGCAGGGTGACTTCTCCAAATTAAACCCTCAGAGTTTTAGAATTGCAGTAGACATTTCATTTTGAGTTTAAAGGCATGCATTCTGGGACATGCTGGAATTTTGACCACTGGCTGGTGTAAAATCTGTCCAGTGCCCAAGTATTACAGAGACCCCAGGAGACCAAATATAGCCTTTCTGGGATATCCAAGTCATGCTTATTCATGATGCCATTTTTTCGGGTTTCCACACACGCTGTCATCCCAGGTTATTAAGAATGGGAACTATGTTAGCACCTGCTACATTATGTATTAATTATTTGAATGCCTACCGAGAGCCACGGGCACATGAAATAATTAAAAATAAGCCATGTTTTATTTATAGATGTGGAAGAAAGAAAACAAAGACTCATAATTTGGATTTTTTTTTTTTGTTCTTCTAAACCAAATGAAATGAATGACACAGGCACAATATTAAAAGAGAATTGCTGGAGGTTATTTCTCCGGCAGTACAATTTCCCCCAAGACATGGGAGCAGATGGTCCCCCACTCATTCGGCCAGTGTCGAGGTGATGCCTGCATGCCTCCCATCCACGAAGCTTCCTGGTGGCCTTGTCTATGGCCCAGCCTTTGTGGTTGATGAAGAATGAATTCCATGGGGCTCCATGTGTACGTGCATAGGTGTAAGTCATATAACAGGCCCCCAGGGCTTCTGTGCAGAGCTATCAAAAGAGCATTCCAACCATGAACGTCACTGTTACTCACCTCCATCCGAGTTCTTATCACTGGGAAAGCCCGGCTCCATGTGTCCGCCTGCCCTACCATCAGAGGGTCCGCACCCTTCCTGTAAAGTGCGCCCTGGAGGGGACAACCCCACGACCCAGTGCTTGGAGCCGCTTCCACTCCTGTTTCCACTCAGGGTGCCTGCAGGTCCACATAGACAGCAATCAGGCATTCAGGATGGTTGTCATGTTTCCTACGGGGCCATTACTCGGTTCAGGAGGTCCGGCTTTCCTCTGATTTAGATCTGAGGCACGTGGGGTGTGAGAGAAGCCCAGGTGGAGAAACATATGCAGTTAAATAACTTTCTTATGATAGATTCGCCAATTACACAGTGATGACATCGTGACCAATGACGGTCAGTATAACTTCCAGAGCTGTCCAAGAATTGCTCACATCCCAGAGCATGTGACTGGGGTGCTGTCCAGTGGAGTTATTTGAAAAGCTGTGTGACATCCTTGGAGCAAAGGCATGGTGTCTGTTTCCCGTTGATCAGCCCCACCAGACAGCCTCCTAAGAACTGGTGAGTTGGATTCCTTAATTTGCTTCTCTACTGCTAAAATATTGAGATAAATGATGACAGAAAATGTCTACTGGGAATGGTCACTCGGAAGGTGCTGCTTCAAAGGACGCTGTTTCCTGCCCTTTCTGAAATAGCATGCAGGACAAGCATTTATTAGATAATTGAGGAACTAAGTCTTGGCTGTGGGAGATGGAGTTTTGAACCATCTCCTGTGAGACTAAGGGAAGTTTGTACGTTTTCATCTGTCATGTTACATTTTTTAAAAATCTGTAAAACCACCTATACAAATACAAGTGTTCTCATCTGTTCATTTGCCCTGAAATAGAGGTTTTGGGTGGAGAAGAAACTAATCGCCAAATAGTCTTTCTTTCTGGTTCAAGTGGTACTTTGATAATACGAGCTTGGTAAAAAGAATTAACGAAGGGCTTAGAGTCAGGAAACCTAACAGCTGAGCCAATGAGCAGGTGCATTTTGCATTATACCTTCTTCAAAAAGGAAATTGATTCATGAGCCTTAATCAAAATATTAGAACCACTACTTCTGAGTTAGGTACCATGGATATAAATAAGGTGTATTTTCCATTACATGTATTCCATGACGGATGAGAGCTATTCTAAGCTTACTGCCATTGCTTTTCAGAAAAAAAGTAAATTTGAGAAGGAATTCATCACATGCAGTTCCACTCTCTGTTAAAGCTTTTTTTAAAGTTTTGACGTATTAATGTTCATTTTACATGTACAGATGCAAAATCTGTCATGAATGCCTTGGATGGGCGTTCTGAGAAACAAGAAGAGCATGCACTAGATCATTGAATTTATCCTCCGGACCGTGGAATCGAACATTTCTTAACAGGCTGTGAGGGCTTTTCTTTAGGATGGGGTGTTTGTTACCCGAGTGACTGTGTTTGCTGCCTAAGCCACCGTCACAAAGGGGCGGTGTTAAGGAAGGAGTGCGTCGTTCAGAAATCAACTACTCCATTCCGAAAATGTACACTGACTATCAAAGTGACCATACAAGACAGTTCAGGCTTTGCCGTGAATGCCAAAATTTACCAACTTTGAATCAACACACATGTATAATTTCTTTTTTTCCAAAAAAAAAAAGAGGTGCTAGGAAATGTATGTAATTCCTCTTAGGATCGCATGAGTGAATGATCCGAATTAGTTAAGACCTTCTTGTTTATACTACTTGTCATCTGGGTACCATCTCTGTCATGTACACATCGATTCTGCCCTCTGGAACCCTTGTCAACTTAATCAGAGGGCTGACTGAAAGCATGGTCAGTGAAGATGGTATCACTGAAAATGGTGAAAGTATTTTATTGAAAGATTATTCCATTTTACGGTCCTTTACTGTAGGCAGTCTTTGTCTCACTAAGCTGATAGATGAACCCTATGAATGGGTATTTACAGTGACATCAATGTTTACCAACTGAGAAGTTTCCCCATATTCAATTATAATGAGATGATCATGTAGCAACTGATGATATCAGGATCCAGAAATGTAAAAGCTCTCAGTGCATGCAGGGTAAAAAAAAAAAAAAAAAGATATAAAGCCTCCTTCTATTTGTATTGAAAACCTAAACAGTAATTGCCGGGCATCCTTTAAAAGGCTGAATGCAACAGGCGTGAAAAGTCTGTGCGTTAAAAAATACTAAGACATGTTCTTCAGACCAGTTTCCATCTGCTTGGCTTTGTGTCTTGTCCTCTTATTAACATTCCTGCCTCATTTGAAAATTAACCCTGTAAAACTCCATCACCGAGTCAACAAGCCCTTACCTGTCACCTGTGAGATCCAGGTAATAAAAGATGTAGCAATGATGAAACACGTCCAGTCTTAGCTCCGAGGTTGTCCAAGACGATGTGAACCTTGCAGGGGACAATGTTAGTACTAATTAAACGTTTACCGTGAGGAAGAATGCCACGGCAAAGATGCAGTGCTGGGCTTGTTTGGGGCAGCACCTTTGACTTTTAACCCTGATAGAAAACTCAGAGGTAAGACTGCAGGGAATGCGGGTCTGTCTGGTGGTCCTCTGCGGTGGGTCCGGGATTGGGGGACGTCATACACAGAGGTATATGGATGGGACGTTCTCTTTTACTATTAATCTGTCTCCCCCCGTGCTTCTCAGCTACTGCACTTCACGGTGTATCGACCTGTCCATTAGAGGATGTTCAGACTGTAGCCACTGATGCCAGTACTGTAGGTACCCCCCCCTCTCAAAATGCCTCCACCTGTTGCCCAATGTCCCTTCAGCTCCACTGACCTAGAAACAGCTTTTAAAATGCCGGAGGTGGAGCTTTGACCCAGAGCAGGGTTGCTCCACCTGGGAACCTGACTTCTTGACGGCTTCTTTCCAAGTGCTGCCTTCCGAGTTCCAGATCTGCAGCTGTCCATCCAAAACAAAAAGAAACAAGAAAAGATTGACATTTGGGGCAAGGACATCCTCTGTTGTGAGGGCCGTCCTGGGCATGGACAACCTCCAGTCCAGAACGGGCTCTAGACCTTGCCAGCCATTTCATGGGTAGGAAAACCACCCTCGCTTTAGAACCTGGAACGGAGGCAGGGGTAGGAGCACCTCAAATCCTCTTCCTGCAGGTATCCCGGCCGCTGCTCATGACTGCTGGAGGACCTTAGCCTGTCCCGCTGGGCCACTGAGCAGGGTTTCCCGTCCTTGCTCACCTCCTGTGTTGCATATGAGAAACTCTGGGGTCAGAGGAGTTTGCGTGGCGTGGCCATGGTCCTCAGCGCAGACGTGCTCTCAGCACCTGGCTTCTCCGCGGCTTCTTTCCACGGGCCGCCTGCCGAGTTCCGCATCCCCAGCGCTCCAGGCACAAGAAGAAGAAACAAGAAGAGATTGGAAACCAAGTTTTTGGGGAGCTTATTTGGCAGCACCACAAACGAACGTAAATCTGACATAAAGTTGAACTGCCTTTATTCCTCCCACAGAATGCAAATGGTCCTTTTGCTTCGCTGAGCACCTGTCAATAGATGTGACTGCAGGTCGTTTCCCCAAACTTTGCTCAAGGTGTTGTGGATGGCATGAGGTCGTGGCCATTACCTTCATGCATGTACATGTTCACATATTTATATAGAGAAAGTATGTTATGCATTGGGTTATATACAAATATGTGAAACAGTATTTAAACGTATAAAATATATACTTCATTATATAAAATGTACCTATTTACATATATAGAAAAAGAATATCTATTTTTAATATATATCCCGTGTATATACATATACACACACAAATATATTTTACACATATTGCCAGTTATATTGAATGGCAAGTATGTACATATATTCCAGCTTTACTGAGATACAATTGACCTAGAACATTGGTTATGTTTCAAGTGTAGAGCGCAAAGGTGTGATGAACCTATGTATTGCTAAGGGACCGCCACAGTGGATTGACACCCATCACCTCACATAGTTACCCATTTTAGTCTGACTGTCTCATGGTGTGTGTGATAGAAGGACTGTTGCATAGAAAACGACAGTGCCCAAAACTGACCTGCACACAGCTAAACTTCCAAGTGGTCTTTGAATGCATTTAATACATTATTTTCAACTCAAAAACCCATTACCTTCTATCATATGAAATATTTTGAATTTTGAAACAGCCGTGGCCCCAGCAAATGGGTCATGGTTCGTTTTCAGTGACTTTGCATACCGGGTTGGCCATACCATGTGCACCTTTTGGCATGTGTGCTATCATCATGTTGCCCACATATGCCGTCAGAGGCGGCATGGAGCATTTAGAGCCTCATTCTTTTTCTTCAGCCTCCAAGCTGTGCCGTGATGTGAGAACACTCAGAAACCTGATATTCAGCCAGAACAGCTGGGCAGAATGGCTGTGCCTCTTGGTTGCTGTGCCCAGGGATAAGCAGCTTCTGACCCCAATCCTCCTGAGCCCAGGCATCTAAAAGGCAGACTGTCCCTTAATTCAAACCTCCTAGGGGTCATGATGGCCCAGCATGGGCTTCCATGTTCTGGGAATACTAAACAGAGAAGCATGCCTTTGCTTTAGAAAAGCCGCTATGTGATCCCATCAAAAACAAATGGCAAGTCCATGTTTGGTTCTTTAAGAAGAATGGAAACGTGTCATCTGGCGAGCCTGTGTGCATGTAGGAAAGGGTTTCTCAGCCTGAGCATGATGGATATTTGGGACTGCAGGACTCTCTACAGGACAGGATCTATACATTGTAGCATGTTTAAGCTGCATCCTCTGACACTACGGAGGAGATGCCAGTAGCACCCTTCTAGTTGTTGGGTGCTACAGACATTGCCAGGTATCACCCAGGCAGGGAGGCAAAGCCACCCCTGATTGACAACCACTGTCTAGGAAAAGCATTTCAAAATTAATTAAGACTGAACTTTGTGTAAGAGCTGGATTCTCTCCCTTGGCACGACTGATCCTCGGGGCCGGCTTATGCTCTGTTGTCAGGGACTGCCCTGTGCATTGTTAGATAGTTACCAGCATTAGGAGCATTGCCCACAGGTTGTGACAGCCCAGACTGCCTCCAGATGTTGCCAAGTTTTTCCTGGAATCTAGGGGCCACCCCAGGTGATACACCCTGGTCCAGGCCGATACTGTAGTGTATACTGAGCCCTGTTGTACGGGTGTGAAAAATAAACCTGTTTTCTTTAGATAATGTCAGAGGGTCACGATTGTTTTTGCTCCACCCTAGTGTCACACATCACATGGGTGACTCATCCAAAGGGATGTCGAAAGTCATTTGTGGTCATTCTGGGTCACAGCAAAGAATTGACGTATCACAAGGCAGAGTCGCCATCGCAGGCAACGCGAAATGGATTCCAGGAACTTCCGATCTGCAAATCAGTCCAAGGGACAAATTTGTTGACCAAGCAGGTGACAGTCACTGGTGGCTGTGGACAGAGGGCGCACCATTCAGAAGGTTTTTGTCTGGACGTGATGGAAACGCAGCACCACCTCGCTCAAACCCAGGAACGCACGTTTCGGTTTGCATATGTGGGAA